GCAAAGAAAGCAGCAAAGAAAACCTGTTCGATCGGAATATATCAAAGGCTCTAGTCCTCGATGAAAACTCGCAATCCTATTGGTTTTCTGTAGCTTGGTCCGATATTGATCCAACTCTTTGATCTCTAAGAGTGACTAACATCTAATTTCTCTTTACAATATCACCCCTGAATGAAACTTTAAGGTTATGAGGAAAAAGGAAATCATCATCAAACGTAGAAGCTCGTGATTGTTGAACAAATTCTCCCCGTCAGCACCTCAGGAAATGTATTGGGACCAGTATGGAGAAAGCGCATGCTGATTCCTGTTCTCTTTTCTGTTGAAGTTCTCGTTAGGAAAGGCAAAGATGGGAAAGCTGAAATAGTCATCATTGACCACGGGCTTTACGAAACTCTCCAGCAAAAGTAAGCCATTATCTTTTTGTTTGGTGTTTGTTGGAAAGGACTGTAGCTTGAAGACAATCTGTCTTTTTTCCAGCAGAAAGCAAATGAGGTGCGTCAGGGCGGGGAAAGGTGAAAGAGCCTCTAGGATAAGTCTCACTTACTGATACCAGTCAATTGAAAGATGCTATTGTGCACCGAAACCCCCCTTTCACACTGTTAGCAGTAGATGCCGTGTGAGTGCCCTGTGTCTTGCACAGAAAAGTTGGCCAAGAGCCGAAAACGCTGGAATTAGGATGCGCCACGAAATTAGCAGACGTTGTCAACAATTGTTTTTGTTTATAGTAATTCTCAATGCCGACCGTTAAGCTAATGGTATAAATAGGCCAGAAAAAAAAAACGCGCAGAAAAACCAATTCGGCCCTCAGCTATTAGCTCAATACGTTTATGCATAGATCTCTTAATTTATCATAATACGTTTTAGAATATGACTTTGTTTTCAAATTTTTCCTCAGAGACAGGATAGCCTTGTGTCAACTGTGGAAGTCCATCATACTCAATGACCAGAAGAAGATGCAATATTTTAGTAAACAACTAGGAGTTGATGGTAAATTCACACGTCAGATTTTGGTCTCCAAAAACGTGATGTGTATAAAGTGGTACAGGATTTTATCTTCTTCTAAATAAAAACTCGGCTGTACCTTTTTCTTTTTATTGTGTAAATTTATGCACCAACTGTTCCTTTATTCTTTCTATGAAAAAGAGAGTATTTTGTGTTAGCCTTGGTAGTAATGAAGGATATGATTTATCCAAAACAAATGCCACAGAATTTAATCTCGTCATATCAATTATTTTCAAAACCTGTCATTGCTAGTTATATCACGCTCTGCATTATGCGCAGTTTTTTTTTGAGTCAGGTCGAGATAACTCCAAAAGGAAAAGCCAGTGTAAACAATAAGCACGTAACTTGTGATTTGTTGTTCTTCAATTTAATTAGGAAGCAATTATCACCCTTAATCAGGCGGAATACGGCCTGACGTTGGTTGAGTATCACGCGATGCCTCGTATGATTTCACTGGATGGTTGTTTTAATAATACGAGCATGTAGCAGAATGTAAAGCAACCCGTTAGGGTCAACCTTACGAGTAACAAGATGAGGTCAAATCTTGATAGGGTTTACCTTATCAAAAGTAAGTTAAAAAAGTAGGTATTATGAGACTTGTTTTCGTTTTAAATGTCGTTTTATCTTCCAGATTTCGAGAATTTTTGTCAGATTCTTCTTCAACGTCCGTTCGCATGGGGAAGCGCTGGAATGCTGTTTACTTCAAGAGTAACAGAAGAGGATTTGACAATCATGACAAAACTCGCTCAAGGACACTTCGAGAAAGTGATAATCATTCTTAAACAGCTTCCACGGAGCATGCTGCTTGTGTTCAGGTGTGGATAGTGTTATTTCACTTCGAAATAGTTTATTCTTGCCGCAGATTTTTTTTGCACGTTTTCCTGTTAAGTGGCACCATTCTTTAGCATTCTTTAGCCAAGTTCACCTATTTTTAATTTCCTTTGTTGACTTTTTTATGTATTTTTACCGTAGCAAACTGCCATAATTTATAGATTTCCTTCAATTTAACGGCCCGAAAAGCAAATCCAAAAATTGTTGCGCAGCTTGTAGAGTCGTGGACGTTGAACAGAGGAAAATACTCGGAGCCCTAGATTAGGGTCGAAGCCCCACCCCCTCCTCCCTCCTCCCTCCCTCCCTCCTCCCTCCTCCCTCCCTCCTCCCTCCCCCTCCCTCCCTCCCTCCCTCCCTCCCTCCCTCCCTCCCTCCCTCCCTCCCTCCCTCCCTCCCTCCCTCCCTCCCTCCCTCCCTCCCTCCCTCCCTCCCTCCCTCCCTCCCTCCCTCCCTCCCTCCCTCCCTCCCTCCCTCCCTCCCTCCCTCCCTCCCTCCCTCCCTCCCTCCCTCCCTCCCTCCCTCCCTCCCTCCCTCCCTCCCTCCCTCCCTCCCTCCTCCCTCCTCCCTCCTCCCTCCTCCCTCCTCCCTCCTCCCTCCTCCCTCCTCCCTTTCAACAACCGATGGGATGCTTTAGAGATTCGAGCTTTTTCCTGTAGAACTACATTCTATATCCTTTCCTTTCCTCTCCTCCCTCCCCTCTCCCCCAGCCTACCGCTGATGAAAAATTGCTTCGTGTTCAACCTTGTACTATCTCATTTTTTTTTTTAGGAACTTAAACACAGTTCGACACATTAATCAGGAACTAGGAGAGCCAGTGGATAGATTTGTTCTCATGGCCAGATGGTTTGTGAAAAAATATTTGTATTCCGTGGTCTTCCTTCTGTTTAGTTTTACTTTTTTCACGGTTTTTGATTGTTTTTATCGAAATAGTTCGAAGGCGAGAAAAGAGGTTTTCAGTATAAATATAGGTCCAGTTTTGGAAAATTTCAAAAGTTTCCACGGTAGCGACTGGTTTAGACGTCAATTTTTTTACCTTTTCTTGCAGTGCCATCGCGGGAATTCACGGCCATATAAAGCATAGAAGTCTATGGTCGAAGATGAAGACAATCTTTGAATCATACGTCCTCGATGTGAAAATAAGGTAATTATGTTTTCCAAATAAGTGGGAAGTTCTTCCCAGTACTACCGCTTGAGATAAGTTTTCTTGTCGTTCTCATCATATATTCCATGTAGAATTTTTATGGTTCGCAGAACGAGTTATCATCGCATAGTGAGGCCGCCAGTTCCAACGACGTTTCTACCTTCCCTGCCCTTAAAGTGTTCTGACTTCCGGTTCTCTGTTACAACTCTACTTCCGATTATTTTACATCCAGTCATTGGATGATACTGCTACATCACATCCGACCATACGTTTTACGACTGGAATTTCATAGTTATTAAACAAACACAAACACAAGAACCAGCTAGTAGGCTAAACGGACGGCGGTAAGAGGTTTTATATGCGGAGAGACACCGCCGGTAATCGGCTTTCATGCAATCCGCGCTGAACCTTAAGAATGACGACCATTTAGTTTCTCCTGACATTATTTCCCCTGAATTAAACATTAAGGTCATGAAAAGAAAATAAATGACCACGAACTCAAGAAGCTCTTGATTGTTAAACAAATTCTCCCTGTCATCAGTTTAAGAAATGTATAGAGAGCAGTATGGAGAATATGCATCCTGATGTTAGGGTGTAAAGGGTGAAACGAAGGTGAATCGTTTGAGCCTGTCACTAACAAATTTCTTGTTGTCACTAGAGCCATGAGTTTCAGAGCGTGGATGGTGGAAAGCTACCTGCAGATTCTTCAGTACCTGGGGCGTGCACCCAAAGATATGGACAAACTCACGTCTAAATTAAAAACCTTACATGAGTTGGACGCCATAGCCGCAGAACGAGCCAAAAGAACGGTCTCGGTTTCTTAATTTCGTTCCCCATCACATTCAAATTGTGAAAAATCGAAAACTTTTTATGTATCAAAGATTTTAATCATTTATAAGTAAATAATGCTGTTATGATCCCTCTTTTAGCCTGCTAACCAATGACTACAAGTGATCCAATACGCCACTTTTGATATATCAAGATGCTAACATGGCTCTGAGGCAAGGGGGAATAAAACGAAAGAAATCTCACCAGCTTATCCTTTGGTATTTGGTATTTCTACAAACTCAGTTTGTAACATAATCACCTGATGAGCCATATCTAAAAAATGAACCTTGGGCGTGACAGAGTGTTCTTATTATTAAAAGTGCAATATGTTTATCAATAAAAGTGCAAGGTATTTACTTCAAGAAAAGCTTAGAAAATACAAATAAAAGCAATATATGAAGCATTTAGAATCATCAACATTACGTCACCGCATTCCAGTGTACACTACGACTTGAAATGTTTGTCTTCTGATAACGTTATTTAGAGCCGGTCAAAGTAGTTGTTTGGGGATTCGTTATAGAAATCAAAGGGAACTAGAACTGAATTAGCCACTGGGTTTACTCTTCTGATATTGACTTTGAAAAAATGAAGGCTGTGTGATCGCTTTGTGTTCCGTCAAGTGAAAATACGAGTCAAATATTTAAACAATCAAAACTTTTATAACCGAGATAGGAAGAATATAGGATGGCCATGATGACACAAGCCATTGAGATTCGAGGGTAACTCTTGTGAATTCCTCAGACCCACCTAAACATTTTATGGAGACTGGGTCTTTTCAGCCGCTGCTACCGGGCTATGAAATGTCTCACCCATAAACCTTAAATTGAGTTAATTAGTTTCTGTTTTTCGAGAAAAGATTAAAGACACATTTTTTCAGAGCTACTTATGATTAACTGTCAATTTCCAACTATGATAAGGAGCTTTTTGTATGTACCGCCAAATAGATTAAGTCATCATCATCATTATTATTATTATTATTATTTTTATTATTATTATCATTATTGGTTAACTGGCCGATTCTACAGAACCAATTATTCCTATTTTGAAAAGCGCACAAAGAAGGAAGAAAAACCCTGAACAACGTTTCGCTAAGCTCTAATTTAAGAGTAATTGTGTAATGCTGAATATATTTGATCGAGACACTTGGTTTTTTTGTTAAGTTGGTACTGTTTGATTGTTTTACCATAAACGTGACAGTTCAGAAATCGACTGGTCTTATTTTCATCTCGGTTCTCTTGAGGGAGTATTTATAACCCTTCCAGTCTTTCCAGTTCACTCCATTGGCAGAGGTGAAGTGATTGCCACGAAGATACAAGCCATTGAGATTTGAGCGGTGACACCTCTTGTACCACCAGGCTCCTTTGTAGTTTATGGCGCAGTTGTAACCCCCTTGATTGTCATTATCTTGATCTCTGGTGGTGAATGGCATACCGCGATGGTAAGCAAGAGAGTCATCAGAATTTCCTGACAAAATGAGCAGCAGGATGAGTATTACGTTTGACCAACAATGAGCTCGTCGTATAGTAGAACAAATCTTGAATTGTCAGATAAGTATGATTTAACAATGATAATATGGATGAAAAGCATTCTTAGTAATATCTATGATTCATGTCGAAGATTCTAGGGATTGTATTACTGAATATGATAATGCAAATAAATATGTTTGTCGAGACACCCATCAGAGTTGGTTAACCGCGTATGATCCACCGGCGAATACCTTTGGACTAACCAACGTCCCGTATGTGCTGTCCAGGATTGCATATCGATGAGCTGAGGTTACTTTTTTGTCTCCCAAAGCTATTGAATAATATTAAAGAGTTTGAGCATATTTAAATTACCTAGCTCTCTCCTCCTCCTCCCCTCCCCCCCCCTAACTTCTTAGAATGACTAGAATAGAGGAGACAAAATGACAGTTCTACCTGAATAAGAACCAAGGATCAGCTTGTACTTGTCTTTCTCACTCATAACACCAAACAAGTTATACTCAGCATAAGCTGTGTTTCCTTCAAAGTCTTCCAAATCCACACGCAGCGTGTTATTATTATCGGAGGTCAAGCGGTGAATTTTGTCCAGTCCGAGCCAAAACTCACCACACAGGTCACCAAAGCCACATTTGTAGTCGTTCCAGTAGCGGTAGAAATCAACCGAGCCGTCCAGTCTCTTCTGGAACACAGTCCATCCTCCACCGTCCGTTGTTTGGTCACAGAATACATCAAAGGCAGGCAAATTATCAGGTTTAATGGCGTAGACACCGTCAGCTGGTTTACCCGCTGATTTGTAGATTTCTGCGCAGTTTCTTTTGACTGAAAATAAGGTTAAAAAAAACAACAACAAAACAACACGCTTACTTTAAATTGTTTGGATATTGAGTGCTTTTTGTTTGCTTTCCTGGCTATTGCTCTGACTGATAAAACTTGATTCTGAACATTAACAAGTACCATTTCTTCTTCCTTAATATCTACCAGCTATATTCATTTAAAGTGACCGTACGTGGCTTTTCCTTTTTAGCTTTCATTCAGTGATTAATATTTTGTTCTTGAAGTCAATTTTGAAACTTTAGTGAGTAACTCCTCGCGTACTACTACACGAGAGACTGGTCTACACAATCCAACCATTTTACCTTCAGCTTGGCAGGTTTCTCCTGTGAATTTTTCCTGACAGACACAACGAAATCCTTTATTGGTGAATCCAGCTTGACAGGTGCCATTGTTTAAGCATGGGCTGCTGCTGCATGAATTCTGTTGACAAAACAAAGTAAGCTATAGTGCAGATCTTCCTTATGTTATGTCTTTAGCCTAAGAAAACGAAACAATCTCTTCTGGCACCGTAGTTTCGTAAGAATGTGAAATGTTACCTCGATTGCAAGATATGTGTAACCCGGATTTTTCACGAGAAGAAATGGAGCATGGTTTTCCTCTGTGGCGTTATTCAACTCGCATTTTTGGTTTCCTCCTGCAACAGGTCCAATATTGATGGACACACAGTTAGGCTCCATATAACACATTACTCTGCAACTTCCTTCGTTGGGCACGTCTACACTTTTGATCGCGTGATTTTTCATGGTCATGTTTGGTATTGGATGCTTGAAAATGATGTTTCGACAATCATCGTCTGCGGTAGGCAAAACAAATATATCGTTTAGTTTCCTCTCACTCGAGGTACTTTTTTATTTTCACCCATGAAAAGGCACATTAGACCACTTTCTTTCAAAACTTTACTGCACGAGAACCCTGACGAATTTTCTCTAAAGGTGATCGTCATCTCTTGAAATTAAACTTAACAAAAATCAATCTTTGATTGTGAATTATCGCGCGGAAAGAAAATATTAAGGAAAATATCAAGAATATTTTCACAGCGTTCATTACCACACCACGATATCTGTGAATCGTTTGCTTAAATTCATCATTTTGAACCATTGATGCGCATGTGATGGGGTCTTTTTGAAATTTGGCTTTTTTTGCATCGTCTATTCCATAATAGTAGACACAATAGTTAGATAAAGATTGTCTGCTTAAAGATTATTACTTTGATCAGCAGGTAGCATATGTAGTTTGTGTAATGGTTTTGAGGAAACGACACCAGAAAGATAAAACGCAAGAAATTTAAAAAGGGATTTATACTCACCTGTGCAACAGAAACATGGTGGGAGAATAATTCCATGGAAGATATAGAGAATATTAATGATCGGTTGAATAGAAAACTTGAACTGCATCGCTATAAATAAATAATTGTAAATTAAAGGTAAAAATATGATAGTGAGCGCCCCAAAATATAAATCGTTCTGTTTTCCTGTAAATTTGAATTTAGACAAATGTAAGACAGGTGTTCGGCATTTATTTGTCAGCTTTGTCTACTTAAAGGGATTCTTAACTTGCACAACATCTCGAAGGCAAATACTTCGTTCAATCATGTAATTGTTCTAAAACACGTTTTTATGCTAACAGGCTTGTTTCATCCCTTGCACAAAAAGAAAACCTAGTTTGAATTTCTTCATGTTAAATATTCATTTTCGAAGATGTGTTAACGGCTGCAAAAGGCGCAAAAAGAGGAAAATAATAGACCGCCGTAACGCAATTTATCTGTATTGGAGTATTTTAAAATTCTTACTCTACCTTGTTAATTTTATCTTATTCTGATAAGCCATAATATTTTCAAAAGCATCGGAGAAAAACGGAATAGAGTACATCACACTTATTGGAGGTGACAGGCGTTTATCAATATGTTGTATTCCGCCTGTTTAACTTTGAACTTGCGGCATTCAAGTTAAGAGCGAGAAACAAATTTTTGCAGACTTATTACCGACAAAGATGTCAGATCACTCACAAATACAAACTTTCACAATTTATCCTTTTTCATCTCAAAGCATTCTCCAATACGATAGAACAGCATTGCACATTATTAACTTTGTAGCAAAAAATTAACTTTGTAGCAACCTTAAGATAGAGAGGCCTAAGTTTTTTATGGCTCGTTTTGCTAATGATAGTCGAGCATGGTAGTTAGCATTAATTAAACATCACCCGGTTTTATCTTAGTTAGACTGGTCGCAAGCATTCTGACTTTCGGATGGTATTTGAGAGCTTCAACCTATAAAAAAAACAAATTTGTAACAACTTTGACAGAATGTGAAACATCCTGTGGCTGAATTGACAGAATTTTACACAAAAGTTTTCTCGATCATTTCTGCTATCAGCGCAATTGGTCTGAACAAGAAAGGCTTGGTCCAAGATATAAGTAGCTCACAGAGATGTTTCTTACCTTCTGAGCGAAAAAGTGTTTTTCGCACTTGGTTTTGTTCCTGAGATTATCAATAGTGAAAACTTTATGGTGTCGTGCTTTCCTTTGATTTATAGAACTGTTTGAGCTTCTGTAACTATGGTTACAAAACAAAATTGTTGCTCTATACGCCACAGCCATTCTTCCTGTCCAGCTGTTCTAATTGTTGTTAGTCATCAGCTCATAGCTTTTGTGTTTAAATCTAAATGACTGATCTCACATCTCAGCACTGGATATGACAGTCAACGAAATACTTCAATGAAAAACAGAGAATGTTTTGAAAAACCTTTTATGGCAAGTCTAACTCTTAAACAAAGCTGCAAATTATTTGGTCAAAACACTTTCAGCGGGACATGTAAGAAGTTTTAGAACTACAAAATGTTTTCCTATTTTCCCTGGAGGTAACTAAGGTGTTATGACCAGTTTTATGTCTTTTAAATAAAAATTTATGAAAATATAAATTTTAAAACTATACAACATGTCGCATTTTCCTCCGGTGTTAACTGCGGTGTTATATATGTGGTTATATTTTTTCCAATTTAGAGAGTATCTTGCAAAAAATGCTCTCGACAAATTAAAAATTACCCGATAAGTTAGACAGAAGCAACAGTACTGTACAATAATTTGTATCCCTAAAGATTTTGAGCGGCTTTTCGCAGTGTTGTAAGAGATAATTTTGTTTACGCTGAATGTTGAAGCCGGAAACCTTGGTTTTCCTAGGAAAGCAGTTTCTTGGCTCCGCCTACACCGTGGATAAATCGATGCACCTGTGATGTGTCTGAGAATTCTAATTAATAAGCTGATCACATGAAATTGCCGTGAATTGTTACATTTTCAAAAATAGGACGTACGCGAGCAAATTCTAACTAAAACGTATGGACGCGTAATGACCAAAACAAAACGATCGAAATGAAACGAACCTAACGACCAAAAAAGTATACAGAAAATAACAGTCAGTAGTAATAAAATGAATGCCCTTATGGTCTACTCCTGATCTACCTCACGGGGAAATTCAGTTATCTCTTGATTGCCATCGGCTTAGCATTAGGCTTCGAGGGAACCTTAATTAAAAAAAACAATCAATAAAAGAGTCACGGACATAGACGTTGTCAATGAATACCGTAATCTGTTTCTTCCTCTCCTTTCCGTATACGCTTCGGTATTCAATGAGGCTGGCGTTCCGAACTGGAGACTACATGTTAGTGTCAAATTGTAGTTTCAGCTGCTCGCGTAGTGGAAAAAAGTTAAGTTTCGTGAGACGGCCTTGATATGTAAAATCCTTAAGATACGAGAGAATATCTGAAGTGAAGTCTACATTTTGCGCGACTTTTCATCGTCCACTCGTCTGGATCACTGTAGTGGTTTTGTTTTAGTCTTAACGGTCATTACGTTTTGGTAGTTTCGTTTTGCTGTTTCAGGTTTTAGCACATGCCGAAATTATTAACGACGTCATCACAAATTCAACATTTTGACTCAATATCTGTCCGCTTACAAAAGTGATCTTAACAGAAAGTGCTCACAAACTTGGGGAAAATGGCGATAAAATGCAAGGGAAACATGTCGACTTTGAGGTTTTTTTTACTCAGGAAGCCATAGGCCAGAGTGATGATAAAATATACGGTGTTACAGAGAATGTGATATACTGTTACAAGTAAGCGCTGTACGATACTTCTCATCGTGCGCGAAAACCCAATTTGCGGTCTTGTACTCTTGTCAAAACAGACTGTTATTAACGACAAGATAACTTAGTTCTATCAACTGTGTTGAAAATGCAAATTGGTCCCCGTAAAGGGTTTCTAGGGTTACCGTTTCGAACGGCCCTCAACAGAGCGTTATTGATGACATCATTTTCATGTCGATCGACGTAACTCCTGTACATGACCCTTGTGCAAAAATGGACCAGTACAAACTAAATATTACATAAAATTATGAAGTAGGCCCCAGTAACTCGCTGTTCGTTTTGTCAGTCAAACCCTCCCACCTAACTTTCCACATATTGACCTGCGATGACTCTGTGAAACACCACCAGGTTGAAAAGCAATTTGTGATAAATCGACATTGGACTTGCGATTAACATATATAGCTAGCTTGTTATGACTATTTGAAAAAGGTGTAGTTAAATTTGCAAGAGTCGCAATGATAAAGTTTGCTCAGGCATCATTCTCTACACTTGTCAATTGATTTGTTCGCCTTTCTACAATCCACATCAATAGGCTTCAGGATATTCCATTACTTTTGCGACTTTTGCGAAATATAGGAGGCATGATGGCCATGATGATACAAGCCATTGATAAGGAGCTTTTTATATATGCCGCTATATAGATTAAGTTAGTTTTACTATTATGATTATTATTATTAACGGTTAACTGGCCGATTCTACAGAATCAAGTATTCAAATATTTTTTTGTTAAGTTGGTACTGTTTCATTTTTGTGCTATAAGCTTGACAGTTCAGAAATCCACTGGTATTATTTTCATCGCGATTCTCGTTAGGGAGTAATGATGACCCTTCCAGTGAAACCAGTTCATTCCATCAGCAAAAGAGGAGTGATTGCCACGAAGATACAAGCCATTGAGATTTGAGCGGTGACAACTCTTGTACCACCAGGCTCCTTTGAACTTGATGGCGCAGTTGTGACCCCCCTGATTGCCACTATTTTGATCTCTCGAAGTGAATGGCATACCGTGATGCACAGCAAGAGAGTGACCAGAACTTCCTGAAAACATGAGCCGCACTATGAGTATTAGGTTTGACCAACAACGAGCCGTTCGTAAGGCAGAACAAATCTTGAAATGTCAGATAAGTATAATTTAACAATAACGATATGGATTAAAATAATTCTTACAAATATCTACGATTCTATTCGAAGAATCTAGGGATTGAATGACTCAATTTAATAATACCAATAAATACGTTGGCCGAGACACTCATCTTAGTTGCATTAGTTCGTCAGGTTGACTGCGCATGATCCACCGGTGAAAACCTTTGGACTAGGATTACATATCGACTAGCTGAGGTTACTTTTTTGTCTTCCAAATTTATTGAATGATATTAAATAGTTTAATCATGTTTACATTACTTAGCACTCTCTTGCCCTCCCCTCCCCTCCCCTCCCCCTTCTTATAATGACTAGAATAGAAGAGACGAAATGACAGTTCTACCTGAATAAGAACCATGGATCATGTCTTTCTCCCTCATATCACTAAACAAGTTATACTCGGAATAGGCTGTGTTCCCTTCAACGTTTTCCAAGTCCACACGCAGCATGTCGTGAGGTCAGGCGGTGAATCTTGTCCAGTCCCAACCAAAATTCCCTTTTCAGATCACCAAAGCCACATTTGTAGTCTTTTTAGTAGCGGAAAAAATCAACCGAGCCGTTCAGTCTTTTCTAGAACACAGTCCACCCTCCACCGGCTGTCGTTTGGTCACAGAATACATCATCAAAAGGCAGGCAAGTTATCAGGTTTAATGGTGTACACACCGTCAGTTGGATTATCCGTGGATTTGTAGATTTCTGCGTAGTTTCTTTTGACTGAAAATTAACAAAAAACAAAGCAAAACAAAACGCCCATTTTAAACTGTTTGGATATTGACTGTCTTTTGCTTGCTTTCCTGGCTATTGCTATGTTTGATAAAACTTGATTCTGAACATTAACAAGTACCATTTCTTTTTCCTTAATATATACCAGCTTTATTTATTTTATGTTACAGTAATAAGTGCTCAGAAACGCGGGGGTAATGGCGATAAAATGCAAGGGGTACATGTCGACTTTGAGGTTTTTTTTTCACCCATAGGCCTAAGTAATGATAAACGTAGTGTTACAGAGAATATACTGTTACAAGTAAGCGTCGTACGATACTCCTCATCTTGCGCGAAAACCTATTTTGCGGTCTTGTGCTCTTGTTAAAACAGGCTGTTATTAATGACAAGATAACTTAGTTGTATTAAATGAGTTGATAATGCAAATTATTCCCCGTAAGGGTTTCTAAGGCTATCATTCCGAACGCCTCCAAACAGAGCGTTATTGATGATATTATTTTCATCTTCAATCGACGTAGCTCTTGTGAATACCTTGACCCTCGTGCAAAAAATGGACCTGTAGAAACTAAATATTACATAAACTCATGAAATCTTTCCCTCCGCGTAATACCACCAAGTAAGAAAGCAGGATGTGATTAATCGACACTCGACTTGCGATGAACTTGAAAAGCTAGCTTGTTACGACTATTCGGAAAAGGTGTTGTTTAATTTGCAAGAGTTGTAATGATAAAGTTTCTGGTTATCACTCTATATACTTGTCAACTGATTTGTTCTCCTTTCTACAATCCACACGTCAATAGGCTTCAGGAGATTCCATTAGTTTTGTAACTTTTCCACCTAATTAAGAGAAATATCTCAACATATAGCAGATGATATTCACTCCTTAACTCATGTTTTATTGTTATTCTATTGTGTTCTCACCTACTCTTACTAACTTACTTAATCAGAAAAGAGATAGTGAGTTGAATGTTTAATAACTTGAAAAAGAAGCAAGGAGATAAATGCAAGCAATATTTGATACAGCGTATTGAAATCAAAAGAATATGAAACTTGAAATATCTACTTTTCTGGCTGAATTCTTGAAATACTTTAAAATACCCCGTTTTGTTTTGTGTTTCGTTAAAGTAGTAAATAAAAAGTTAGTGCGCGTCCGCTAACTTTTTGTTAACTTTAAACGAGAATGTAAAATCGTTACATCAGCGACTTTTTTTCATCTACCATATAGCAATACAAACACGAGTTAATACTACACAGCGTTCATAAAAGTTCAGAAACATGTCAAAGGCAATCGAATCGCCCGTATCAGGTAAATGAACCACTCTACGGAATCAATTTTTCCTGAACTGAAAACGTAATAGAAACCGCCATCCAGCACCAAAGGCAAAACGCAAACACCGAAACTCAGACGAAAACAATAAAAAACGCAAGGAAGCAATTAAAACTACCAAAATTTACAATACTTGGTTTGAACTACATGATTTACACGGAAAATAAGCCACACATTTGAGAC